CGGCGTCGTGGTCGTCGTCTCTGCCCGACTATCCGGCCCAGGCGCCGCCTCCCCCGGCCCGATGTGCGCTCTACGCGGCCAGGCTGGCATCGCATCTCGACGCCTCCATCTTGGCGCTCGTGCTGCTGGCCAGCATCCCCGTCTACTACGCCTCGGGCTACGCCATGCCGCTGCACGTCGCCGTCACGACGCTCTGCTACAGGCTGGCCCTCGCGACGCCGGGCCCCTGGCAGCGCTACCTGCACCCGGTGCTCGCGGCGTCGCTGCTCGCCGTGCTCGTCATCTGGCCGCTCTCGCTCGCGCACGGCTCCAGCCTCACGGCCGCGCTGCGCTCCTACAAGACGGGCGCAAACTACACCCGCCTCTGGAGCCGCGAGCCCGGTCCGCCTCTCCTCCCCGGCGCGGGGGACGTCTTCTCGACCGTCCTCGACGCGAGCATCGTGTCGCTCGCCCTGCCCATGTTCCAGCACCGCCGGGAGCTGAAGCGTCACCTGGCCACCCTCGCCATCCCCAACGTCCTCATCTCCGTCGGCTCCGTGCTGTCCTACCCGCCCGTCTGTCGCGCCATCGGCATTGCGCCCACGCGCAGTCTGGCATTCGCCTCGAGGAGCCTGACGCTGGCGCTGGCCACGCCCGCCACCACCAACCTGGGCGGGGATGTGCATACCGTCGCCGCCCTGGCCATAGCGAGCGGCATCCTGGGCGTGTTGGTTGCCGACAAGATGATGAGGTTGCTGAGGATACCAGACGGTAAGTATTCATCCCAGATTCTGGGGGTATTGGAGGTGAAGCATTTGTGCTGACGGACGCGTAGACGACTACGTCACACGGGGGATCACACTGGGCGTCAACTCGAGCGCCATCGGGACGGCCTTGTTGCTACGGACGGATCCTCGGGCTGCTGCGCTCTCGAGCCTCTCCATGACCCTCTTTGGCACTGTTACCGTGCTGCTGACGTCGATACCGCCTGTGGCGAGTATGATTCGCGCCTTGGTTGGATTGTAGGTTACGCTCGGTACATGATGGGAGCTTTGGCAGATGGGTAGATGGGCAGATGCACTGTTTTTGTGTGCTTGTGAATTTCCAGCTTCGGGAACCAAAAGAAATACACGAGCCGAACAACGTGATGTGGTGAAATGTCATTATATGCAGTCCAGACCCTAAACACGCTATGATACATGAAATGCCCGAGTAAAAAAAAAACCACCCGTTGTCAAATCTATGGCAAAAAAAAAAAAAAAAGGTGGGGAGAAAAGGAAAAAGGGAAAAAAGTATGGAATAGTCCACTGACACGCAAAGCTATTTCATCCGGCCTCGTAATGCATCAACCTCCCTCTGCAAGGCGTCCAAATCTGCCAGGATATCCGCGCTCTTACTTGGATCAGCAGCGTACGCCCCGCCGCTTACCTTCCGCCCATCGGTATTGGGACTGCTCCCGTGGTGTCGCGGCGGAGGAGGCGGGGGCGGCACGGTGTCGCGTGACTTGTTCTCCGAGGAGACTCGCCGGCTCGGTGCATCGACGCCGGTGACACTGGGCGGACGGCGGGTGGAAGGCTGGCGTGTTGGCGGGGGAGGAGGCGCGATCAAGGGTTTGCTGGGGGTTGGGGAGTCGTGTGAGGATCGAGCGATGTCTTGGACCTGGTCTGTGGAAGAAGCCATGTTGGAGGATGATGTGCTTGGTGAGGAGGAACGGCTTTGTTTGGGGGCGAGATATGGTCGTCGAGGCGGAGGAGGAGGAGCGGGAGCATGACCGGCTGAGCGGGTGCTGTCTGATCGGGGGGGCATGTCCTCGGAGGATGTACGCCGTGGAGGAGTCTCCTTGTCGTGAGATTTGCTGTCTGTTCTTGCGTGGCCGCGTGGCGGAGGTGGTGCCGGTGCCGGTTTTCTTGCGCCTGGGAAACTTGGTGTAGAGTTGATTTGAGGTCTGGCATCTACTTCCCCTCCGGCTGCGTTTGTAGCTTGGGCGTCGAGTCGTGCTTCGTCGTCATCCATACTCCTCCGTACTGGTTCGGCCGTTGCATGCCCATCATCCCTTATATCTTCCGGCTCTCGCTGCTTTAATGACTTTCCATGTCTAGAGCTTGGCGGGGGCGGGGGCGCTTTTTTTTCCTTGCTCGCCGGTGATGTCACAGCAAGTATCTTGGATTCTTCCTTATCCTCATCCTCGTCTGAGGAGTCGGCCAAGCTCCCTGGATCTGCATAATTCCTTCCCCTCGCATTCGTTTGTGCCGTGGATAAAGCATTCCTCTTGGTAGTTTCCTCCTCGCCATCTGTTGACGCGGACGACGACGCACAATCATCCGCATTTCCCGTCATAAGCAACCTCTTGAACGAATCGACGTTTAACGACTTGCGGCCCTCATTGGCAGCTTTCAGTACCTCCCCCTCTTCTTTTCTCTCCTTTTGCAAGTCCTGGGAGCCTTCCAAGTCCCGCAACGTCTTGCTGAACGGATTCGAAGGGATGCCACCGGACCTTACGTCGTGCTGCTGCTGCTGCTGCTGGGGTTGGTGCTGATATTTATCCTGCGGCAGGGCGGCAATGCTCTCGCCATCGCTCTCATCCGTCGAGGCACCATTGAAAGGATCAAAGCTCGGGTAGTAATTCGAATGATTGTAGGTATTTTCAGACAGCGGCATCGGCGGCCGAGGCGCATCAAAGGACCATTCTGGTGAGTCGGGCGACAGCGGCGGCGGCGAGAGCACGCGGACCCTTTTCAAGGGCTTGTTCTTCCTGTCACCGGCCTGGGCATCTTCGCTGCGCAGGCTAGACCTAGGGGAGCTAGCTCGGGCGGTGTCAATGGTTCCGAGGGCCTTTTTGCGAAAGGGATTGGAAGACATGGTGGCGTTGATGGTGGACGGCTTGGTTAGGTGACGTTGTAAAAAGTGACAGACGTGTTTGTATCAGCAACTTCGAGTCGGTGAGCAGATGGCGACTACGTTTCAGTATCGGCGGGCTCGGGGCCAAGAGGAGAAAAAAGCCAGCATTTCGGAAAATACGTCTTCACCCGCTTTCCCTCGTAGCTTTTCTAGTCTCGTTTCCCCGTGCCGATCTGCGCGTGGTCTGGGGTGGGACAGTAAGAGAGAATGATAGAGGGGCCGGGATGTTATCAAGGATGAGTAGCTCTCGTTCGGGCAGGGGACGATGAGGGAAAACAAAAACAAAGTCTGAGAAGATAATCCGACAAACCGTGCCCCTAGGCAGCACAGGTCCAAGTGAGCGCAAAATTAAACCGTTGCGACAACTTACGTACGCCAACCCGGCGGCCGGAACAATCGGTTGGGGGCGCGGTTGAGGGGGTTTCCAAGCTCGAGTTGCCAAGGGCAGGCTACCGCTGCGAAGGGACCTTTCGAGTACGGCAATGGACGTGTACGTGTTGCTTATTGCTCGATGGGGCAGTGAGTATGCGCATGCGGTCCGGTGGCTCGATGGCTCGACCAACCAGCACGGTGGTGTCTTTTGCCATGTAACTACGGCTCCGGGAGCTGCGGTGTAACTCGACGTTATCGATGACCGACAACGCTCGACGCAGGGCCACGACAGTTGTGCCTCCCCGTTATTAGACACGGCACACCCCGCTAAGCCAATAAACCAATACCAAGACATCAATCAATCTCCACTTGCCTTGCGGAATACCCGTGGCTGCTGGGTATCCAGTTGGAGGTTGGCAAGGCTAAACCAAATATGGATTCAACAATCAGGCAACGAATTGAGCATGCAACCCGACAACCGACAACCGACGTGAAGCCAAGCAATACAACTCAATTTATCGGCCTATCTTACTGGGTATTACCTGTCACTCGCTCACTGCCTCGTGCACAAGCTAGGGTTTCTACCTGGTACTGTACGTGGTGGTTACCTACTGGATGGTATAATCCCCATTGGGGCCTAGGGTAGCTGCTTCACTGTGTAACCTAGTAAAGGTAGAAAGGGCTAAAAGACAACACAAATAAAATATCGAAGCCTCGTTGAACTCATCGAAAAAAAAAATGAAAAATTGTAGCGCCAGAGCACAGAACCCATCCCAACAAATTGGATCCAGTCGAGTTGCCTCAAACTACCTAGGTATTCAGCTGATGAGTTAATAGCACGCGCACGTGGTAGAGTGTAAGTTATGTGGAACCTGCACAACTCATCAACTCGCGCTTCAAATGCTCGACTAGCGTCACTAGCCCACGTGACACTTATCGGCTCCAACACGGTCACACGGTCACTCAAACTAGTCAGGCGCAACATGTAAACAAACCCGCAACGCACCGCGTCGCAAATATCTGCCTCGCTACTCTGCGCACAGGAAAACGAAATGGACTAAGCCATTGCAAAACTCAAATTAGAGTCGATCAAATGTATTGCCCTTCCTCCCGCCCTGAGACCTGTGGTATATAATTACACGTAGCGCCGTCCCACCAATACCGCGAAAGACAAAAGACCCTGCCACCTGCAGCAACCTTCAGTAAAAAATCGCGTGAAAACAAGGCCAGTCCCTCCATATTTATCATACCCAACAGTCGAGAGCTGTACCGTTCGTCAGACCCGACAATCCAAGTAATTCAAAATACAGGGAGAATAAATCGTCAAAACAAGAGCATTGCTGCTTCCCGGCCTGGGCGACGAAACCGTTCCCATTAACTCATGAGATTCTTCGTCTTTCTCTTATCATCAACCGAAAATCTTCACATGCAAATGCCGCGTTGCCTTCATGTCCCGCGCCGCGTGTGCGCGTATCAAAACAAGCCACATATCTCTTTCGCTTCCGCCCAAAACAGCAATATCCCGGTGAACCTGCCTCTCCCGAGCCGTGCCGTAAAACAAGAAAACACACAGAAATCGAAACCCATAACGCCGTAGTTCATTCATTAAACAAGAAAGTGCACGTTGCCAAAAAGAATGACCAGCCTATGCCTTGGTGGCGGCCTTCTTAGGAGCAGCCTTCTTTGGTGCGGCAGCCTTCTTAGCGGCAGGCTTTGTGGTCTTGGCGACACGACCAGTCTTGGTCTTGGTCAGGGCAGCGTCCTTGTCACTCTGGATTTCAGGTCAGAAATGAATACCCAGAAAACATCTATTTGGTGAGAACGGGAACATACCTGAGCAGCAGGCTTCTTGGCAGTGGCGGCCTTCTTGGGAGCGGGCTTCTTGGGAGCAGCAGCAGTAGTAGTGGTGGTGGTGGCCTTCTTCTCGCCAGCGGCCTTGGGGGCAGCAGCGGGCTTCTTGGGAGCAGCCTTCTTGGTAGTGGTGGCCTTCTTGACAGAGCCCTCCTTCTTCGCAGCTGGCTTCTTAGGCTCAGCCTTCTTCTTGGCCAGCTTGGTGCCACCAGAGGGACCCTTGGGCTGGGCAAAGACGCCCTTCTCAACACCCCCCTTCAATGCTTTGTTGAAGAGAGAGTCAAACATGTTGTCGGAGACATTGGCCAGGTTGTTGTTGGCCTTGACATACTTCTTCAGTGACTGACGGCTGGAGCCATTGCGATCTTTGAGCTGTAGCGAGCAAGTTAGCAAGGCGATCCAATAGGAAAACGCTGGCATCCATTGGACTGTTGCAAGAACAAGCCGTGATCCAGAGACGTGACCATGAAACCCATTAATTCCAGGCCATCTATCCTGTCATCTGTGTAATCAAGACACCACTCTCTGAACAGGATGCGCCGAAGGGTTCATGAACGTTAATACATACATTAACGATGGCATCAGTAATCATGTCCTGGTGTGAATTAGCACGCGTGATTCCCAAATACCAAAAAACCGACTGACGGCGACGAACCTGGTAAGTAGCATGAGTGGACTTGGCCTTGGGGGGGGCAGAGCCTTCAGCCTTCTTGGGAGGCATCGTGATTAATGTGATGGAAAGCGTGAGATAAACGTGTAAGTGATGATGCGAGAGAACGGAGCTTGTTACTGGAAACAAGTCACGATTGTATCTACACCAAGAAGAGAATAATCTTTGGGGGTCAAATGGGAGCAGAGACAAACAAGATCGATTCCGTCGGGCGCGTGGAGGGGATGGGCCTTGT